AATTTAGTATCAAGAAAATTTATTATAAAGAAAGTCCAGAGGATTTAGACGTTTCTGGCCAGAAGCGGGATCCACCCCTCTTCAGGAGGGGTGGGCCCTGAGTGCAAGGGAAACTGTGCTTTTATGCAGTTGAATTCGGTCGGGGAACCTCCCAGGCTGGGATTGGTCCAACCCTCCCCAGGTTACACCTTTCCTTACATGTTTCCCCTTGATATGTTCAAGTATGTTCCCCCTCCCTTGGTCATACGTCCCGTGACTCGTTAATGAGGCTCTAATTTTATGCGGGGTGTGTCAGATAATAGTAATGAAGTTCATTAAGCAGGTACACTAACATTTTTCAGGTGTTCTCAGGTTGACCCTAACTGGTCTGAGCTGGCTCGACCCTTGTCTTGATTTTGGGGTCTTCTTGGAACAATCCACTTACTTCCTATTGGTCAAGCCCAGCCCACCTACAGTGTACCACCTCCTGGGACCTTTGTTCTTTAAATCTCTGCATTATTCTACCTGTGGAAACTTAAGCCCTTCTAACTCTAACAATCTGCATTCAAACTCCATAGTTCTTTCTTTGGATGTGGATAACATTTTCAAACATGAGGCCTCTGGAGATGTCTTAGATCCTTGCATTGCTGAGAAAGGCTAAGTCTATCAAAGTTAGTCATCGCACAATGTGGCTATTATTGTGTACAATGTTCTGCTGGTTCTGCTCACTTCACTCAGCATCAGACCATACAAGTTTTTCCAGGTTTTTCTGAAGTCTGCCTGCTCATCATTTCTTGTAGCACAATAGTATTCCATTGCATTCATATACCACAACTTGCTCAGCCAATCCCCAACTGATGGGCATCCTCTCAATTTCCAATTCTTTGCCACCACAAAAAGAGCTGCTATAAATATTTTTGTACATGTGGGTCCTTTTCCCATTTTTATGATCTCTTTGGGATAGAAGTGGTATTGCTGTGTCGAAGGGTATACACATTTATATAGCCCTTTGGGCATATGAACTCTCAATCGTAAAGGACTCATTTACAATGAAACACTAATATTTAAAGAAATGAAAATTAAAACAATCATGAGGTTCTACCTCACAGCCACTAAACGCCAAGATAAGTCATGAGAGTTAGACCTTAGTGAAGAGACATTCCTTTGTGATGTTTACCAAGGAAATAATTAAAAAGAAAAAAAGACTTATTTGTGCATAGGTGCTTATAGTGGCACTCTTTATAACAGCCAAATACTTAAAACAATCTAAACATCCAGTAGTTGAAGAATGCCTGGACTTCAAAATGTCACAAATTACTATATTATCCTATAGAATGAAAAATATGGAGGGGAAGCATAGCACAGGGGATAGTGTGCAGGCCTGAGGGTCTAGGTTAAGGGCCATCTCTGATATGCCACCCTGTTGGCCTCAGTTTCCTCATCTGTCAAATGAGTGGGAGAAACAAATGGCAAACCACTCCAGTATCTTTGGCAAGAAAATCCCAAACAGGGCCACAAAGAGTCGGACATGACTGAACAACAGCAGTTTCCTCACTGGCAGCTCTCTCCACCAATGAAAACATTCTCCAGGGATAGGTATAAAGGGAAAACACAAAACCAAGAATGACAAAGATAGGACATAAGGAGATATGGAAAAGTCTCTATGAAGTAATTCAAGTGAAAAAAAACTAAATTAGGAATTCTGCATATAAATATAGATGTATGACATGTCGTTAGAGTGTTAATTACTTACGTGTTAGCCTTGAAACCCATCTATATGTTTGCTTATTACTAAGCTGATATTTCCACTTTGTTGCTTTGAAGGATAGGTGATTTCATTAACATTTGTTTTTGTTGTTCAGTAGTTTCAGTCGTGTCCAATTCTTTGTGACCCTTGAGATTTTCTTGGCAAAGATACTGGAGTGGTTTGCCATTTCCTCCTCCAGCTCATTTTACAAATATGGAAGCTGAGGCAAACAGAGTGAAGTGACTTGCCCAGGATCACACAGCTAATAAGTGTCTGAGGGCAGATTTGCACTTAGGAAGAGGAGTCTTCCCAACTCTAGGTCCAGCCCGCTGTCCACTGTGCCACTTAGCCTGGTACATTAGCATCCGTACTCACCCCCATGCCCTTGCCTGACCCAAACAAACACAATTCTTAACAATTCTTACCCATGTTTTCCCATAAGATCAGAGAAGATTTAGTGAATGTGTCAGATTCTTTCTTTCATTCAGCAACAAGAAGTTAATCAATGAATCAGTGCGTCTGTCCATTTATTGTCTTTCATTCTTACTATGTGACCAATCAACACTCCCTTCTAATCATACATAGGTTCAATAGTATTATTTACGCCAAATCTTGCGCACAAATTATTTATACATACTGCATCCTTCCCATTGCCCTTTAAAGTGTTTGTCATTTCAGTTCTTCTGAGAATGTGGAATCCATGATTTAAAGTCAGTCATATAATAGTGGTGGTAACTCATGGCCTGGGCACCTCCCCATTAGCCATCTGACATATATGGATTGGGTCTAACCTCAGGGGATTACCCCATAAGGGTCATTTTCTCTTTTGCTTGTTATACACCCACCTGGAGTTTACTCTATGGCAATTTCCAAATAAAGGTAAAAGATAAAGTGTCTAGATTTCCATGGAGGTGAGTAAAGGGAGTCCCTAGCTTCCTAGTGACCAGTCACAGTAACAATGTGGGTTTAGGGCATGGGATAACCTTTATTTTGTGCTGCAGAAAATGAAGACAACACAGGGGGCTCACAGGAGTCTGTAAATGGATACAAAAAACATACAAAATGCTCAAAGAACTGGTAAATTTCTCCCAGAAGGCAACCTAGTTTGGAGCTGCTGAACAAGAAATAGCCCTTTCTGTTAACTCTCCACAGTCCAAGTTACTGGTTGTAATAACAGGCATGGAAGGCAGCTAGGTCAGAGCCTTTGTTTCCCCAAGTTAGTTATCTCTTTCTTCAGCTACTGGGACCAGGAAGATGATTCTTTTTTCTCAAGGAAGCATGCTGTTTAGGAAAACCCTCTCTCTCTCTAAAAGGCCAGGTCTACAAACTCTTGAACTTGGTATCTCCCATGAGGTAACCTCCATATCTAACACTGCCTAGGAGGCAACTTCCTTTCTCTGTCTAGAAGGCTAGGTTCTAGGTCATGCCACCTAGGTTATCAAAATCCTCCCTTTTCTACACAGGAGGTTGGGGTTAAGGGATATTGTTCATGGGCTCCCCTCTCAGGTGAGCTGACATGAGCATGTCAATTTTTGCCATGTGTTTCTTCAGAAAACCTGTCAATGCCCTGGCTGTGGCCATCGCTTGGGCTTAGAAAGCCCACTCTCAGGAACCTAACCTCTCCATGGCTTTGGCAAGCACATCACTGCCTCTGTTGGGTGCTTCCATAAGAATTCAAATCACTGAGTCCCAGCCATGCAGGCATATTGTAGGCTGTCCCCAGTACTGAACACCAATCCAAAGTTGGCTGTGAGCTCTCACCAACACATTCTTTGTGTAGAGGTCTTTTCTTGACCACATGCAGAGTTTCATGCCCTGAGCATCATCAAAATGACCTGAGAGTTCACCAATTCCATCATGGGACTTCCTTAATCAGCCTCTTTTACTGCAGTGTTAAGATGATGGGTTTTTTTTTCTTCAGCAGCAGAGTTTACAATAGAGTCCCAGACACCTCCTGTTCAGTTCTGATCCCAACTCATTGTCCATTTGGAGGCCTTTTTGTAGATACAAATGCTGGTGGGCACTGTCCATGACTCCAAGGATTGCCTCTGGTGTTCTCCTTGCTTAATACTTGGCTTGATGGCAATACTTAGCAGATTGTTGAATAAAATAATCTCTTATCTTCTCTGTCATGGAATTTCATGTAATTATGATGTACACGTGAGAGACATGTTTAAGGAAAGTCTTTAAAATAGTGTTTTCACTATGTTTCTCTAAAATCAATAAGGGGAAAGGGAGAGAAGATGGGAACAAACAATTATTAAGCTCTTACCATGTGCTGCACACTGTGCTAAGCACTTTACAAATATCCTCTCATTTGATCTTGACAACAACCTTGTGGTTTTCTCACCAAGCTTTCTATTAAACATGGCATGTTATTTGTCACCTTGCAACTAAATGCCACTATAGATGCTTTTAATTTAATAATCACTACCCTCAGTCTAATGAATCTATGATCTCAACTACACGAATGTTCTCACACATGGTGCTGATTGCAAGCCATCCATATTCTATACCTTTTTTTTCTGGGAGATTTTTGTTGTTATTAAAGGAGCTCTGCAATTTCCCAAAGGGAATCAATCTAGCCTCCTCTCCTCCTTTTGTCCACTTGAAATGAATGTCAAAATAATGATGGATGAGCTCTATTGCTGTTGTATGTTCTTCGTTTTCAAAGAGGACCAATGACATCACAGGGTGATGTCTTGACTCATTTGTGGATTGGATTTAAGTGAGGCAGAGCTGCCCAAAGTCATCAGCCTCACTCTCTCTTCCAGAGTCATCAAAGTCCAGGGGCAGAACAAAAGTCAGGATGACCTTGGCATATTCGATGTCTGCCCAAGCTCTAAGTGCTCCATGGTGCCTGCTTCAGCCACCTTCATGGCCATTGGAACAAGTTGTTCTTCATTTACTGGGGTAGACACCCCTCCTAACTCACTGAAGGGTTCGAGGACTGTTGCTTACCCTCCACCTGGTTTAGCCTGTCTGCTGAGACAGTTTACCAGGGTGTGGCCACTGTACATGCTGCAGTTTCTTGGAGTCACAGGTGAGAATTGGGTGGATCGGGTGGACACCACAGGTGGCTGAACAGTCCTGGAAAGGGCTTGGCTGCCGTCACGCCAGAGGTGCTCATTGTCCCTGAACACCCCATACGCCCCACTGAGCTCTGCAGGTTATCTAGCTAATCACATGTTATAATATGGACAACAGATATGCTTCATTCACTTAGTATTTTTCTGTGTGGATGGTTATGCCAAACTCTTCTGGGTGGTTCCAGATCTCATCCTGGAGGTTCTTCTGCAGTTTGATGCTGCCAGGATGAAGACATCTGCAGACAGAAGCATTTGGAATACCTGTATGTTCTTCTACTAATACCCTCATCTGCCTCTTCTTCATGGTCAGGACAAACGCCTTCGGTGAGGATGTTTCTCTGTTTTGTGCCACACCTGATATTAATGATGACAGAGTTGTTGAACAAGGTTATCAGGTTATCTTTTTTTGTTTTATCTCTCAGGTAATCTTGAATGATTTTCATGCTTGATTCATGATTGAATCATTTTGATGAGACCGAAGTTGGAAGAGATGGCAGCATTAGAGGCAACTAGGTGGTGCAGTGGATAGAGTTCCAACCTTGGATTCAGGAGGACTCAAGTTCAAATCCGGTGTCCGACACTTGGTAACTACTAGATGTGTGACCCTGGGCAAGTCACTTAACCCTGATTGCCTCACCAAAAAGCAAAAGAGAAAAAAGAGAGAGAGAGAGAGATGGCAGCATTTAGGAGGGGAATGATAATGAAGGAAGTGTAGGCAATGTAAACATAAAAGGTACCAATAGTCCATTAAAACGTTTTTAAATCTTTACATAACTTTTCCATTTTTGATCTAATTGCTATTCTTCCCATTTTATCTTTGAATGCTCTTGGAATGACTTTGACTAGTTGAGTTTCTCATCAGGCTTTCTTTAAACTTTTTTTTTTTTTAAATTTCACTGTTCCTCTCTGCTTTCTGAAGGGATGCTACTCATAATCTTTCATTATCCTCTGGAAAATCTCATCAATAAGTTTATGTTCTAAAAGCAATAGTGCCTTTTGCTGCAATATCTTTCTGTTTGGCAAGTAAGTCAAATGTTTGCTAAGGTGCTTTTTTAGGCTCTGATGGTTTCCTTTTTAAGGAAAATGACTTTCATTGGTCCCCCAGCCATCTTGACACTTTCCCCATTGTTTCCCTGATTCTCTCTGCTATGAACAGTGCTTCCAGACTTCCAGAATTCATGCCCCTCATTCCTGGATAAGTTAAACTACTTGGCTTTGGAACTGCTGCCTTAGGGCTGAGCTGAACAGAATGATGAATATGTGAGTGAATACTCACATAGCCCACAATATTTAGGTGGTTCCAAAGCAGACCATGCACCGTTCTGGCCATCTTGCCATCTGTCTTGCAGCTTCCCCCTTCCCTCCCCTCCCCCTATCCCCATTTTATACCCTTCTCCTCCTACTTTCCACTTCTTGCTGGGAGAACAGTAACCCTGTCAATGTCCCTATGGCACTACTAATGAATTCCTGTGACTCCCCAAACCAAAATTCTCTTTCCTGGCCATTACTCTCCTATTATTGTTGTCTGCACTTATTAGAATGTAAGCCCCTAAGGGGAAGGACTATATCACTTTTGCTTTTTCATCCCTATCACGGCATAATGCTTGTCTTAGTAGTAAATGCTTAATAATTTTTTTTTCATTCACCTGTTCGTTCATAGGTTAAAATTCTTTATGAAATTATTTTAGTCTGTATTCACATCCTCTCTTCCAAACATACTTGATTTTCATCAACAATAGCTTGTTTAAATAGGTCTAGATAGAATTATTTTAATTGTATGTGACATCTCTGCAAAATGTTTTACATGAATCATTTCATCTCATTTAACAGAATGCAGATATACTCTGTACATATATGTATGAGTATAAATGTGTGTGCATTTACATATACACCTATATGCAAAATACACATGCATATATATATATATATGTATATATATGCATATACACTGAAAACAAAATACAACACCTAAGGATATGTTATTGGAGGTTAGTCTAGATGAGCTCTGAGGTCCCTGATAGTTCTAGGTCTATAATCCCATGATTTTGACAACATGCAGAACTTCTTGGATGAGGAGCTATACTCACCAATTCAGATCACAGCCTATGAACTCAGCTCTGGGAAGCTAATAGAGTTGTAGGAAGTTGTTGGAAACACATAGAAGTGATTTACACAGGGTCACACTGATACTAACTATAACGGTCAGGAGTTGAACCCAAGTATTACTGGCTCTGAGCCTTGTACTCTATCCACTCCGTGTGTGTGTCTGTGTGTGTGTCCCCTTGTGTGTGCATGCATATGTATATGTATACATATACACACATATCCAATCAATTTAAGTCAACAATTACACTTACTATATTCAAGGCATGGGAGCCAAGAGAGGAGAGTGTCCAGGAGAAAGAACTGGTCAATAGTATCAAAAGCTTCACAAATGCCTAGGAAGAGTAGGATTGAGAAAAGGCTATTAGATTTATTTTGGGAGATCAAGAATAATCTTTTTTCCTCCCACAGAAAGGAACTTGTTTAATTGTAGCACAAGGGGGAAGAAGTTATCTTTAAAAGTATGAGAAACAGGAGTGTAAACTCCAGGTCCTTGGTCAAACCAGGTAAAGGGCAAAATTTGAAGTCATTTTTGAAGTCGAATGGAGTAGACTTTGGTAAGAAGCTGTAAGGCTGTAGGGCTTGAAGGAGGGAGGGACACTATTTGCACTTCCAGATTAAGTGGTGTTGATTCTTTTTTTTTTTTTTTTTGCTCCCCACACCTAATGTTATTTTTTCCTGTCCTTAACTTTTTAGTCACTGATGTCAAAGGGAGACCTGCTGAGTGGCAGCTTCCATTCTGTGAAGTAAGGGAGTAGTCCCAGGAATTTGCCTGAAGCTGGATTTCCTGATAAGATAATTAGGCATTTAGTGGACATAATTAGTTGGTCTAATTTATGAAGAAGTCATTGCTGCTCAAATGTTGGACCCTTAGATCACTTGCCATCTCAGAAGACATTACTCCCACCCTGTATCCTTTTTCACAGTAATGTGTATATGTATATGTATACTTGGAGGATCTAGGAAGTTTGAATTAGACTTGAAGTACCCAGTTGCCGCAATTTAGGTCAGGAGATGAGAGAGCTTAGGTACCATGAGGCATTTTCACATTCTTGTATTTATTTACTTATTTGAATTTTGAGTTCCAAATTCTCTCCCTCCAAGAATAATCTTTGAGAGAACAGTCTCAGTGGAGTGATGGATTGGAAACCAGGTTGCAACACATTGAGAAGTAAGTGAATTGTGAGGAAATTGAGGCAGCTAATGTTTTATTTCTAGGAGTTTGGGAGAGGAGAGATAGAGCACAACAGCTAAAGAGATATTAGAGTCAAGAAAAAGGTTGTTTGTTTTGGGGATTGGGAGACTTGCACATGTTTATAGACAGGAGGGAAAATGTCTGCAGATAGAGTCTGAGAGAGACAGAGACCAAAAGAGACATAGAGATAGAGACTGAGAGACAGAATAGAGACACGGAGATACACAGAGAGATGAGGCAAGCTTCTAGAGAAACCAGGGGGAAGTGAACAAAGGCACAGGTAGAGGCATTGGCCTTGGCCAAGAGAAGAGTCACCTCTTCCTCAGAGACAGGACTAATAGAGGAGAAAAGTGTGAAGATGTAGGGAGATTTTGAGACATGGAATAGAGTATCGGGCATGAGGGAGCTCACAATTAATCTCTATTTTCCCAGTAGAGTAAGAGGCAATGGCATCTCCTGAAAGAAGGGAGAATAAGAGAGCCATTGGGGATTTGAAGACAGGAGAGTAGGTTTGGAACAGATGTTGAGGTGAGTAGGATAGGGGCAATGTTGCCCGCAATCAGATAATACACCAAACAGAAAGGCACGAAGAAAATCTATCCTAACTTCAAAGAGTCCTCCCCGTGAAACACTCCCGAAACATCTACTAAGGATGTGATAACATACATTTCCTCCTTATCAGAGTTCCTAGATAGGGTTGTAAATTCCAAGGCTTTTTCTTGGCACCTGTATAGAGGAGTGAATATGTAAATCTAAGGTTCAAAGAGTGAGAAGGAATGTCTCAGGAGCCTCCTAGCAGGGAGAGATTTGGAGAGCCCTGCTTCTTAATTATTGAGCCCTTTGGGTTAAAGCCTGGGCAAAGGTCAAACTGTGTCCTGGATCTTAAACCCTATCAGACTCTTAAGAGCGGCCTTCAACAGGGCAAAGACTAAAACAATAGGCTGAATTAATTAAGATGAAATTTAATCCATATAAATGTGAAATCCTATACTGGGGTTCAAAAAATCATTTTCACAAGATGTAGGAGGGATGGTTAGAAAGTCATTTATCTGAACAAGATCTGAGAGTCTTTGTGCAAGTTTAAGATGAATCACAAGTGTTACATCATAGCCAGAATGAATTAGCCAAGCTAATGAAATGTTTGTGGCTATATAAAAAGAGATATGGCTTTCAGGAACAAGGAGGTAACAATCCTTTTGTACTCCGCCATGATCAGACTACATCTGAAGTCTGATGTTCAGCTCTGGAGGCCACATTTGAGTATCTGGAGGAGGACAAACAGGATGGTGAAGGACCTAAAACTTATGCCATATGAAAACTGGTTAGAAGTGAGTATGTTTATTCTGAAGAAGAGAAGAATTAGAGGCCACATGATGGCCTCTTCAAGTATCTGAAGGACTGTCAAACAGAAATTAGATTGTACTTGTTCTGTGTGGTCCCATAAGGCAGTGTTAGGAGAAATTAGTGGAATTTGCCTCGATTTAACAATTAGAACTATCCAAAAATGAAATAGGTTGCCTCAGGAGTTGGTGGGTTTCTCCTCCTACCTCTCAGGATTGTGGTGAGGATCAAATGACACCTTTTAAGTTTAAAAAGCATTTAGCACAGTGCCTGGCACAGAGCAGGTGCTACATAAATATTTGTTCCCTTGCCTTCCGCTTTCTCCCTTTAAGCAAAGTCTAGGTGACCACTCCAGAGGGGTGATGGAGGAGAGCTGGTCCATATCCACCAACTCTATCCCCACTAATCCCCCTACCTCCTGCCATGGCTGTGGCCTATTGCCTGTAGACAACCCAAGGCTGTAGGCATTGCCACTATTTATTGTAGTATTTATGTATTTTACCATTTAACATATATAAAATGGCATTACTCTTTTTATTAGGTTCCTATCTTTTTTTAATGACACTGACAACATTTTTGAGTGTTATGTCCCTAACTCCATTTCCCCCATAAGTTTTGTAGTTTTTGTTGTACGGTTTTGAATAGCATAGTGATTTAGGAACAAATATGTTGTATTATGGCAGAACTGACTATACAGGTTGTACTCAATGGTCTCTGCAGATTCTTTCAGTTCTGAAACTCTATGCTTCCATAATGTATCTAAGCACTTTTTTTTTCTTTTTGGCTAGGCAATGGGGTTAAGTGACTTGCCCAGGGTCACACAGCTAGTAAGTGTTAAGTGTCTGAGGCCACATTTGAACGCAGGTCATCCTGACTCCAGGATCAGTGCTCTATCCACTGTGCCACCTAGCTGCCCCTATCTAAGCACTTCTTGTTGAACATGTAGAGTGTCTTGGGAGAAATTCAGTTCAACTCAGCAAATATCACTAAGTGCTTACTATGTGTCAGTTACTGTTCTAGGAATTGAGGATACAAGAACAAAACTTCAATTAGGCTCTGCCCACAAGGAGCTTATAGTCTACTAGATAAAAGGCTCCAAGTATCTACTACCTATTGTATCATTTAGTTAAACTCATAACAAAGGTTGGATTAATAATGCATGATGTCCACACTCTGTGGGGACAAGATCCTTCTTGCCAAGGTGAAGGGTGACCTCAATAAATTCTGGTTAAAGAAAAAAAGTGGGGGCAGCTAGGTGGCACAGTGGATAGAACACCAGCCCTGGACTCAGGAGGAGCTGAGTTCAAATTGGGCCTCAGAATTGACACTTCCTAGCTGTGTGACCCTGGGCAAGTCACTTAATCCCAATTGCCTGGCAAAAATAAAATAAAGTAAATTCTGGTCAAGAATTCTTTTACTCCTCGTTCTAGCCTAATCCTGCAAATACATATCCACAAAGAATAGCACTTTTCATGCCATCAATACCATGTAGATTTTTATTACTTTGTGATAGGAACATTTTTGACATCACTTTTTAAATCCACAAAACTGAGTAATCAAAAGAAACGAATGATCTTTGGTTATGTGATTCAATCATATCAAACAACAAAAGAAAAAAACGCTCCCATTCCTAATAAAAACTTTTTGCTTCTTAGGTGAAACATACACTTAAAAGGACAGTGTCTTCCAGGCAGTATGCACTCAAAAATCTGTTAATTTGATTTGAAGAACCAGGCAAACTTTAACAACAAAATTAGCTTTGAAAAATGAAAGTTATGAAAACAAAGAAATGAGCACCTACACAATCACTGAGGTCTAAAATGAGTATGTGGAAATATATTTAATGGAAAAAGACAAGTTCAAGATTCATTTATTTTATGTTTATCTAGATGAATTTAACTAATTGATAGGCTAATGAATGAACAGTAAAAATAAAATGTTTGATAGTATTTTTCATGGTTGGAAAGGTGTTTGTATTAACTGTTCAATGGAATCATCTTTCTGAGACCAGTCACAATAGGTGAACTGAACTGAGGAAGCAGTTCCAGTTTCTCCCTAAAAGGAAGCAAATAAGCATTTATTACACACCTATTGATCATGGGACCCTGTGGTAAGTGCTTCATAGATATTATCTCATTGATCTTCACAACAACACTGGAGGTAAGTGCTTTTATTATCATTAGTTTGCAGTTGGGGAAACTCAGGCAGAAGTTAAGTGACTTGCCCAGAGTCATTCATCCAAGAAGAGGAGAGTTTGGATTTAAACTAAGGTCTTCCTGACTCCAGGCCCCAGTACTCTATCCACTGTACCAAGCTGCCCTATAAAAAATAGTAAGGGTTAGAGAGAGAAACCTAATTTGAGTAATTGTACACTTGCAAATACACACACATACATATATATATGTATATATGTATATATGTATATATATATATATACTTGTAAGTACACTATATATGTATGTGCACAATTACTGAACTATTTTATATGTGAGAGGCAGCCAGGTGGTGTAGTGAATAGAGCACCTGGCCTGGAGTCAGGAAGACTCATCTTCCTGAGTTCAAATCTGGCTTCAGATACTTACTGTGTGATCCTGGGCAAGTCATTTAACCCTCTTTGCCTCAGTTTCCTCATCTGTAAAATGAACTGAAGAATGATATGGCAAACCACTCCAGTATCTTTGCCAAGAAAACCACAAATGAGGTCATGAAAAGTCAGATATGACTGCAAAACAATTGAATAACAAAATTATACATATGTGTGTATATATACACATATATATACACACATGTATATATACTAGATGAATACATTATATATATATATATATATATATATATGCATATACATATCCATATTTAACTAATTCACAAAGCTCTGTGATTTTGGTGAGATCTCAGAATTGCTGAGGTTGGAATAGAGAAATCTGGACCACAGAGATTTCTCCAAGGAGCTGTCTAAAACTCTTTAGGTCCTTGGCTCTTCTGCCTCAAAATTCAAGAAAAGAATTGTTTTGTGCAAGCAGACAGATATCTCTGGTGAGGCTATCACAGACTCTTGGAAGGGGAAAGGTCTTCAGGACACAATGAGGTGTGACCTCAGTAACCATGGCTGTACAGGGTGCTACCTTTAAACTGCCTGGCAGAGCTTAAACTCCCAAAGCCCTAACGTATTATGTCATTTTGCAAGGTTTTCTGGGAATGGTAGTTACATTTATATAGTCTTTCAAGTTTGGAAATTAAACAGGATTCCTTTTACCGAAGAGGATGTCAGGAAATACTTCCTCTGGCAGAGACTCACTAGCTGAGTGAGCTTAATCTTAACCTCTCACAGACCTAGCAACTCTCCAAGACTATATCTTAAAGGAACTGCCAATTTCCTTCAGTGAAGAAAGTTGTTTCCACATTAGGAATTCCTGGTACTGATAAAATTATAGGTAGGGCCAATTTTTTCCCCTCTCTCTACCTTAATTATTAAAAAAAATCACATTTAATACCTTCATGTTCATTGCAATAATTCCAAGTTCAAACATATTTTCATATCCCACTTGATACGTTATATGTTTAAGGACAGATTCACATGCTTCCTTGGGAGATAAACTCTACAAGAGAAAAAGCCAGATTCTAAGAGGTTTTAATACAAGAGGGGAAAATAAAAATAATTCAGGAGCTAAAGTTATTGAAGTAAAAATATAAATAACCAATACCTGCAACATAAGAGAAACCAATGAAACATCTTACTTTTAAGATTCCAGCTCTTACATAAAATCACAGGGGGATTTGAGAATAACCTTAATTACCAAAATACATTTATGTTAGTGATTGAGTGCTTATTGGTCTCCTGTTTGCTTCTAATTTTTAATCTGTACTTTCTTCATAGCATCCTTTTAATAATTTTATTTTGGTATTTCATTGGACAAAATTATTAAATTCAAATTACAAGTACAGATAAAACAAACCACTTTAAGTGTCATAGGAACATCTAAAGATAATTTAAAATTTCTACGCACGATAAAAGTGTACTTGCAAATACAATCTAGGGCTAGAAGCATTGTAGTGTAGTAGGAGGTGGCTTTGGCCTCGGAGGTCAGGGAGGGATTAACACCCTTTCCTGCTACTTAATGCTTGTGACCTTCGGTAAGTGACCCACCCTTCCTGGGACCTGAGTTTCTTTATCTTAAAATGAGAGGAGAGATGGTCTGCCAGGCCTCTTTGGGCTCCAAATTTGTGATTCTATCAACTTTATTAATTCAAACAGAGCAGAAATCAATAGAGAACTGAAAGTTTAAATTTTAGTGTATATCATGTCAATATATCTTGCCTTTGGTAACAAATGTGTTCACAAAAATTGAAAGTTGAATTTTTATAAATTAAGAAATTTCAAATGGGAAAGAATAAACATTTATTAAGTACTTATTGTGTGACAGGCACATGCTAGGCACTTTTCAACTAATGCTTCATTTTATCTTCCAAACAACCCTGAGAGTTATATGCTATGAGGAAATTGAGGCAGACAAAAGTTGTGACTTGCCCAAGGTCTCATAGCTAGTCTGAGGTTGATTTGAACTCAGTTCTTCTTGAGTCTAGTCCCAGCACTCTATCCACCAGAGCCACCTAGTTGTCTGAATGCACTAAATTCACCACTTAGACCTCTGTGGCAAATTCTGTCATAAAGTGAAAAATCCTTTTGAAATAGGATTAACCAATCACCCCCTATTTTTTTTCTCTTGCATAAGTTCATGTTTTCATGTTATCAGTTTTTCTCAAAGCAGGGCACAGCTGCGATATTTAAAATGTTTAATTTAGGTTTCTTTAGAAGTTAACATTGAGCAGAGAAGGTTGATCTTGGAAACAATAACATTAAGCCTTACTTCACGGCAGTTCGACTTTTTAAAGTACACATATCATTCAGGTAAGGGTTGGACTAGATGCCTTGTGAGGGGACGAAGGTGGGAAGAGCGCTTAGGGGTTGGGTTGCTAAATATCCCATGAGTTGTACTTTTTTTTTTATCGTTTCAGGAAAAAATGAAGCTATTTTGGATCGGCATTGGAGAGTAAAGTTTTAAAATTTCTCTGGAGAGGGTGAATTGAGAGAAGACGGAGGGCAGCAGTGGTGGTGAGAGCAGATGGAGACTGACTCAGCCTTGTGGTGTCTGGAGTCTTCTTTCCCTGGTGCTCTTATCCACTCGTTAAGAGAATGGAACAGGAGTGAAAAGGATTATTATACCTACTCGGAAAAGTCTCTGATTCACAGTGCGCCGAGTCTGTCCCGGTTTCTTCCTTGTTATTGCCTACACGTGGTCAAGCACTGGTTACAGCTAAATGTTTCCTAGTTGTTTGTATTTCAATACTAGTGCTAGATAAAGATCTTTTAAAATTGCATCCTCCATTAGTTAGTGTCTTAGCTATAGAGATCACAGATAAAAGGGAAAATAGTGAGTAAATTGGCAGCTAGGTGGCACAGTGGATAGAGCACTGGACCTGGAGTCAGGAAGACTCCTTTCTTGTGTTCAAATCTGACCTCAGAAACTTACTAGCTGTGTGACCCTGGGCAAGTCATTTAACATTGTCTCAGTTTCCTTATCTGTGACGAGCTGGAGAAGGAAATGGCAAACCTCTCCAGTATCTCTGCTAAGAAAACCCCTAATGGGGTCACGGAAAGTTGGACGCCTCTGAACAGCAGCAAAGTACTGGAATGGTTTGCTATTTCCTTCTCCAGCTCATTTTAATGATGAGGAAACTGAGACCAACAGGGTTAAATGACTTGCCCAGGGTCAAAAACCAGTAAGTGTTTGAAGCCAGATTTAGAAAGATAGAAGGGAGCCATGGAGGAGATGGCTTCAAATGCCCAGATATGGATTTTGTATTTGATCCTAGAGGCAATAAAAAGTCACTGAAGATTTCTGAGGAGGGAGATTACATGGTCTAATCTGTATTTTTAGAATATCAGTTTTGCAGCTCTATGGAGCCTTCATGATGCTGGAAGATATTTATCACCACAATATTTTTAACCTTGTAGCAGATGTAAATAGTGCCTTTGAAAGAGGAAATCTTTCCAGTGGAGAAGTGACCCTTTTAAAAATTGTTAAATATTCCATTTTTTTCCAATTACATGTAAAAATTTTTAACATTTTTTTAAAATTTTGAGTTCTACACTCTCTCCCTCCCTCCTTCCTAACTGAGAAGGCAAGCAATTTAATATAGGTTTTATATGTGCAGTAATGCAAAACATATTTCCATGTTAATCATGTTGTGAAGGAAAACACACAGCAAACAAAACAAAACTGAGAAAAATAAAGTAAAATAAAAGTGTGCTTCCATCTGCATTCAGACTCCATCAGTTTTTCTCAGGAAGTAACTTTTCAGTGTATGTTTGGGAGACCATAATTAAATCTAATAAGACATTATTTTAAACACAAAGAGATCATTCAGTTGATGAAGTATAGAGAGGCACCCCACACAAAAATTACATCCATTTTTGGGAGATGTTATTCAGTTGTTTCAGTCATGTCCGACTCTTTGTGAGCCCATTTGGGGTTTTCTTGGCAAAGATACTGGAAGGGTTTGCCGTTTTCTTCTCCAGCTCATTTTGTAGATGAGGAAACTGAGGCAAACAGGGTGACTTGCCCAGGATCACACAGCTAGTAAGAGTCTGAGATTGGATTTGAACTCAGTTCTTCCTGATTCTAGGCCTAGTGCCCTCTGCACTGTTCAACCTAGCTTGACCTCTTGGGAGATAAGCCAAGGTCCAACAGACATCTAGGACATCCTCATAACCTGGAGGGAAAACACGCTTCTGGCTTTAGAGATTCTCAAACAAGGGCAAAGACAGCACTGCCAGACTTTTCGGGCCGTACGAGGAGTTTTAACGGAGTGCCAAGTTGAACATGAGTCAGCAGTGTGATATGGCAGCCCAAAGATTAGTGAGAACTTGGGCTACAGGAAGAGAGGCACAGCTTCCAGGAATAAGGAGGCGAAAGTGCCTTCGTACTCTGTCCCAGTCACACCTCTTTGGGAGTAAGGTGCTCAGCTCTGGGTGCCTAAGTTTAAGGAGGGAAGTGGTAAAGACCATCTGAGAGGTCAGCTAAGATGGCCAAAGAACTTAGGTCCATATCATGTGAGGATGGGTTGAAGGGAATGATCAAGTTTGGAGACAAAGAGAAGACTCAAGAAGGATACAATGGTAGTCTTCAGAAGGTATTTGAAGAGCGGGAAGGAGGAGAAGACAATAAGCCCTTACTATGTGCCAGGCCCGATGCTAAACACTTTACAAACATCTCATTTGATCCTCATAACAACTCTGGGTTGTAGGTGCTGTTATTGTTATTTTTACAATTGAGGAAACTGAGGCAAACAGAGGTTAAGTGACTTGCCCAGGGCCACAAAGCTTGTAAGTGTCTGAAGCCAGATTTGAATTCAAGTAGTTTTCCTGACTCCAGGCCCTGTACTTTGTTCATTATGCCACCCAGCTGCCCCAGGAGAGAAAATAAATGTTTGTTAATTGAAAAAAAAATTTTTAAATAAAAAAATGCCATAATAAAATGCCCAGTAGTGGCATTTTAGAGTTAAGAGGTAGTCCAACTGCCTCATTTTACAAAGGAGAAAACTGAAGTTCATAGTGACTAAAGTGACTTGCCCAAGGTCACACAGTTATCTGGAAGACAATTAAGCATTCCTAATTTCCAGTCTGGTATTCTTTCTACTAAACCGCATGGTTAAAAATGGCAAAAACATAAATATTATCCAAATACATATAATCATTTTAAAAGCAAGAAAAATGTAGTTATATTAGCTGCTTCATTAGGACAAAAACACATGATCTTGTCTCCTTTCCCAGTTGCTGTAAATAAATTAAAAAAAGAGATGTCACAAATTTACCTGTAATACAGTCTATTTAAGAATCAATCATTCCTGCCCCCAAGGCACTTATAGCCTAACACTGCATTAAACAATATTTTGGGTAATCTTTTACCACTTAAAATGAATAATTAACACCTAAGTTATTCACATGAAGAAGTAAATTCTGATTATAGCTAATCTCATAGAACCACTGGATTCTTTCGTTACAATATTTTGTTTTAATAAACAGTTCTGCAGGAAATCATAGTCCTAAGACATGGAGATGACAAGCAGAGTATAACTTTCCCAGACTAACACACCTAGTGAATGTCAAGTGTCTGGGTTCAGATTTGGACTCAGCTCCTCCTGACTCCAGGGCCAGTGCTCTATCCACTGCACCACCTGGCTGCTCCCTTACAGCCTCTTTTGAAGTCAAGACTTCCGCATTCTGTAGCAAAGGAACACTCAGTATAACCAGATCAATTAGGGCCAGAATGCTATAAGGATCATCAAATCAGGAAGAGGGCTTTGAATCCACTATGAAGAGAGAGAGTGTTCTTGGACACAGCTTCCTTTTTTTCCTGCTCCAATGGACTGGACCTAGGGCTTTTAGGTGTTTGGGAGTTTACATGGTTTTTCTAGAAATAAAGGGGTGGTTTGTTATTGGGAATAGGGAATGAGGGAATTTGAAGGGTGATTTTAACTTGATGTCAGGGCAAAAGAATTGTAAATAGTACATGTCACATTTTTTCTTCACAATAATCCTATGAGGAAGATAATGCAAATATTATTATGTTATTAGTCTAAATTAACAGAAGGTGAATCTGAGGACTAGGGGCATAAAGCGACTTGTCCAAGCCGTATTGCTCTACTTTATCAGCTCAGGTCTCCTACAATAGGAAGCTTGGGGTCACAGCAGATAGATCTCAGGAACTGGGGTCAGGAAGACCTGAGTTCAAATGCAGCTTCAGACACTAGCTCTGTGTGACCCTGGGCAAGTCACTTAACCCTATATGCCTCAGTCTCCTCATTTATAAAATGAGGGTAGTAATGGCACTTATCTCCCAGGGTTACTGCGAGGATCAAATAAGATAATAATTGTAAATCACTTAGCATGATGCCTGGCATATAATAAAAGCTATATAAATATAATGATGATAACGATGATGACAGTTACATGGCCAAGTATTAGAAACTTGAAACACTGAAAAGTGTAACCTGATCAATAAAGCATTGTTACTACTAGCCATCCACTAGGACATAGAAATATTTTGACGGCAAGAAATTTTTTTGTGCTGTTTTACTTACAATGAGAATTTATAATTAATTTTATTTTCTGTACACTGAGAGACAGTGTTGCACAGTGGAAGAAAGCAGGATTCAGAACCAAGAACTCGGTTTAGGTCTCACCTCTGACACATACTGACTGTGACCTGGTGCAAGTCACCTAAACCTTTCAGGAGTCTAGGTAGCTCTCTAAGAGAAGATGCCAACCTGCTTTGGCAAGGGAATTTCCTTATCTCTATGGGAGTCCCCCATATTGATATAATCATAGGTCCTAGCCCTAGCCCTATCATGCATGCATTATAATACTGTGGAAAACACTTCAAATTTGTAAATAAATACATGTGTTGCAACAGATTAATCAGAACAAATTACATATATATATATATATATATATATATATATATATATATATAGAGAGAGAGAGAGAGAGAGAGAGAGAGAGAGAGAGAGAGAGAGTCTAATTTGCTAGAAGAGATGGAAGAAAGTGAAATAGAGGGCTCAATTCTAGGCCTTCTCAGGCAAGAAGGAGGGGAAGGCAACTCCGGGAAAAACATGGTAAGCATTAAAACAAAATCAAACCCGTTAACTTTAAAACCAGTTTTGACTATATATACATCCATCCATCCATACATATATATATATATATATATATTATATATATATATATATAATGAGTTTTATATAATTTTACCTGATTCTAATTCAATTCAATCAAATCAACAAAAATTTATTAAGTAACCACCATAACGATCCCAAATTTAGATATTACAATTCCTGCCCTTATGGTGTATGATGGGAAATATCACAACATAAACAGTAACCACAATACAAGATGGCCAGAGGCTGAATCTACCTAACACTAGAGGGCAGAGGGAGTTAAGGGGCAAACAATAAGCTTAAGGGTTCAAGGGAGCTTGCCGGTGCTCTCTCCCCCTCCCCCCCAAGTTTCCTTCCTCAGCTGGGAGTCAGTGAATGTTTCCTTCTTCTTGGCCTGCAGTCTGTGTGGACTTAACCAACTAGCATCTTGAGTGAAACTCCAATTCATGGTTTCCCATTCTTTTCCCTTCCTGCTTTCTCCATCAATGGACCCTAACAACAAGGACATGGAATCAACAGCACTTGCTGAGGGTAACTATGTAACTTCTTTCCTCCCATTCACTCCCATCACACCCACTTCTCAATCCTCTGCTGTTTGGCTTCCAACCTCATCGTTCTACTGGAACTGGTGATGTCTTAATCGCCAAGTCCAATGACCTTTTCTACAATCCTCATCCTCCTCGGCATTTGACAGTGCTGACCACTTCTCCTCCTGGGTGCTGGCCCCCCTGGATTTTTGTGACACTGCTCTATCCTAGTTCTCGGCCTGCCTGCTTGCTCCTTTCATAACTTAACTACCCCAAACACTCCCACACTCAGTCCGGGGTAGTAACCTGTTATATAGTCACAATCCACATTGCTCTCTTCTAATCTGAATTCTTATGTATCACATAGTCTAGCAATTAAGACTAACCCAGAGAAAACAAAGGTTGGCTCCCTAACTAGACTGCAAACTCTTTGAGGTCAGGAAATACATCTTATATTTAATTTTGTACCTCATAGCATAGTGCTTGGTGCTCATTAGGTACTTTTTAGGATTACAGGCTTAAGTATCCTTTATTAAATTAGCAGAATGGCAGATCAGAGCTGCTGTGACTTCCAAGTTGGTCCTCCAGGAACCGGCCCTTAAAGAGGCAGCTAGATCCTGTCAACAACACTGGCCTGGGAGTCAGATGACCTAGATTCTATTTGTGTGACCCCCAGAGACAAGACCCAATCCTTTAGGGCTACAAAATGGCACTGGACTAGATGACCTCTAAGAACTCTTTACTGACTGAATATATTCTATGAATCTCTAAGTTCTGAGGCGAATGTGAATACAGGTGTTAGGATGCAGAGGTCCACCATACCATAGGGCTGCAAAGGGGAGACTGAACAAGGCCTCCCAGAACAGGCTAAAAAGTCAAGTTAGCTCAGTGGAGCTTCGTGGAAGCTCATCGGTTCTGTTTAATTTAAGGGGAGATAACTGAACAAATGCTGCATGAAGAATGGTAATGATGTAAAATACTCCCTGAAGGGAGGTCTGCAGAGGTTCAACAGGCAAGCTTAGACGGCAAAATTATCTGGATAAAGCAGATGTCCAGGGCTGGACAAATGAGGTTACAATGTACTTATTCAATTTACCTGTCTCTGAACGTGACATATCCGGTCTGTTAAAGACAAGCAAAGTAGCAGTTTCACTGACAGTCAAGTAAATATAGAACTGATAAAGTAACTTGTTTCTAGCTTCAGAATAAAACCATAGTGACACAAAGGCCACCCAGGAAAGAAAGACCGCTCAGAAGTCAGTGGCATTTACATTCTGGACTTCCAAACCAGGCCCCCACCCCCACCCTTTAACCCATATTAACTGTAAGGGAAAGAAATATTCAGGGCCAAAACAACTCTTTTCTTTTATGGAGTATTTTGTAAATCAGGGCCCTCTCAGTGTTTGGTCTCAGTGTCTTATTTAATCTACTTGCACATCACTGCCAGGTGAATCATCCTAAAACACAGCTGTCACTCAGAAACCTCTAATGGCTCTCCATTGCCTGCTGAATAAAGCCCAAACTCTTCAGTCTGGAATCAAAGGCTCTCAAAAATCTGGCCTCAACCTATTATCCCAATTTTATCTCCCTTTATTCCACTACACAAATGGATCTCATTATTTTAATATGCCTATAACTCTCCTGTCTTTGTTCTTACCCTTTCCCTGTCATGACTGTTCTCATTCTCTTCCGTCTATGAAAATGCTAACTACCATGAGCTGCCCGTTGTAATTGTGGCTTAAATACATAGCTTTAGTCACTTAAAACTGCACCAGGACTTTTGGACACCCCATGCATATGTGTGTGTCACTTTAAGGTTTGTAAAAACCTTTTATGGACTTCATTGCATTTGATCCTCTTCACAACTCTGTAGGGGGTATGGACCGTTATTATCCCCATTTTACAGATGAGTAAACTGAGGCTCCAAGAGGCCAAATATATTTGTATGGAGGTGTTCCTGTTGGTCTCCCAAGTCCAGGGTTTTATCTACTTAGCTCTGAAAGGGCCTTGCTGGAAAGAGTGATGGATTTGAGTATCTGGAGTCAAATCCCTTAGCTTCTCTAAGTTTCAGTTTCCTCGTCTCTAAAATGTAGTGTCCACCTCACAGAGCTGTCAGTACAAATGAGGTGATACATATATAAAACACAAGGCAAGGCTTAAAGCTTTGTAGGTCTGTGTGTTGGGCACTGCTGCTCCTGCTAGTCCTTGTTCAAGGTTTCTTCCTTCTCCTTAAACCCTTCCGATGACCTTCCAGGAAAGTATCTTTCCTTCCTTAATCCTTTACTATCTATACAGCCTATTCAGTCCTTGTCAATTACTGCTTTGCCTTATTTATGTGTGCCAACAGCAAATTCTGGGGCTGCATCTGATGTTGCCTTGTATCCCCACAAAATGCCCAATGCTTCCCACAGAGCAGACATTCAACAAGTATTTGTAGGGGCAGCTAGGTGGCACAGTGCATAGAGTACTAGCCCTGGAATCAGAAGGACCTGAGTTCAAAACCAGCCTCAGACACTTGACACTTACTAGCTGTGTGACCCTGCTCAAGTCTCCATTGCCTAGCCTCCCCCTGCCCAAAAAATAAAAAAAA